CTTAGTGTAGTTTCAATTTGCATTTCTCTAATTGCCAAAGATGTGGTACATTTAAATAATATTTGTTGACATTCTTTTTTTTTCTATTTTTTTTTGGTGATGCTGGGGATTGAACCCAGGATCTTGTGCATGCTAAGCAAGCACTCTACCAACTGAGTTATATCCCCATCCCCATTTGTTGATCAATCTTATTTTTTCTTCTGAGAAGTGTCTATTTGGTTCCTTTGCCCATTTATTGATTGGGTTATTTATTTTTCTAGTTAAGTTTTTTGAGTTCTTTGCATTGAAGATTGAAACTTTTAACTGTCATCCAGAGACTGACAGGGTGGGAGAGCTATGGAATAAGAACTGGACTTCTGGGGCTGAGGTTGTGGCTCAGTGGTAGAGTGCTTGTGTAGCATGTGTGAGGCACTGGGTTTAATGTTCAGCACCACATAAAAATAAATAAATAAAATAAAGGTATTGTGTCCATCTACAAGTCAAAAAATAAAAAAATGAATTGAACTTCTGATAAAAATCTGAGAAGTCATACTAAATGAAACCTGTAAATCTGAAGATGTTTCTCACAGATGGTCTGTTTCTTTGCCCAAGTATAAAAAAATCTTCTAAATATCATGTAGGAGGCAATAGAAACTATATTTTATTTGTGTGCACATTTATTAGCATATTTTCCTGCTATCAGAAAAGTATTGATACTTTTGGTTTCAGATGTGCCTGTCTTGCTATGAGTCCATATCCAGTAGGAGACAGGCAAACCTAAGATTGTTAAGAATCCTGTACTTTGTGTGAGTGCACATTCACATGAATATGTTAAATAAAACATTTACTTACTCCAATTTTAGGCTTGCAACCCTTATTTTCTAAAATATGAGGTAGCAAAGATTGTGCATAATTAGCATTAGGTTACCCACTGCACGCTATCTTGACTCTATGTTTCTGGTCCTATTGTGGCACTTTGGGTAATACCATTTTTATAATTATACATGAATAAATTGACAGGTGATTTTATTCCTGAAAGATAATTTTTATATATTGATATGATTATTTTTATCTTCAACACAAAAGTTAGACAGTTTCTATATCAATATGTACACTAACTAGATTTGTTCTCAGAATAAAATTTAAGCCTCCTGATAACGTAGGTGCGACTTATACATATTTTGAAACTTCACCTTTTTTTTTCACTTCCAAACATAAAAACCATACTAGGCAAACTTAGAAAAGTAATACTTTATTTATAATTTTTTTTATTCACAAAATACCTCAAAATTCAGTCATTAACACTGATATACAACATCAAATATTCCACAGGACAGATGGAAACAGAAAGGCAGATGATTGGTACTTAAAAGCAATAGCAGCCAGGTGTGTTTGTGCACACCTGCAATCTCAGTGACTTGGGAGGCTGAGGCAGGAGGATCATAAGTTCAAGGTCAGCCTTAGCAATTTAGTGAGCTCCTACACAACTCAGTGAGGCTCTCAAGAACTTCTTGAAATTCTGTCTCAAAATAAAAAATGAAAAGGGCTGGGGATGTGGCTCAGTGGTAAAGTACCCCTGGGTTAAATCCCCAGTATCCCAAATAAATAAATAAACAAACAAACAAATAAATAAATAAATAAAAGCAATAATATTAAGTAGTTAAAAGTAGGTTGAACTAGGCAGGGTGGCACATGCCTATAATCCAAGTGGCTTAGAAGGCTAAGGCCGGAGGATTGCAGTCTCAAAGCCAGCCTCAGCAAAAGCATAGTGCTAAGTAACTCAGTGAGACCCTGTCTCTGAATAAAATACAAAAATAGGGCTAGGGATGTGGCTCAGTGGTCGAATGTCTCTGAATTCAATTATTGGCATCAAAAAAAAAATGGGTTTGATTGTTGCTTAGTTTTTTAAAATTTATTTTTAAAAAAATAAATGATAGCAGAATGCATTGTTGCTTAGTTTTTGTGCATTTAAAAGAATTGAGTGAAAGACAGGGCTTTGGCAACAAGATCAAGTCAAACTGGATGCTTGCTTTCTGACAGGATGGTCCGGATCTCATCTCTTCTTATCAACTTCCCCTTTTGAATTTAAATTCTTTATAATTTTCTGAGGTTGTATTCATTTTGTTTTTTACTCCTGAGCAGAAATAAATCTTTCTCTTTACCCTACTTCTTTCTTCTGAGCAAAGGTAAACTTCTCCAGGAGGAAGAAGGGATCTTGTGCTGGGCTTAGGATGGAGGAAGGGAGAAAAGGAGGAAAAGAGAGAGATTAATTAGCTGAATGAGAATGGGGCAGAAGATAGAG